TTCATCAGACACTGGTATAGGAATTCCTACAATACTAGTGTTACTTTTTATAATACAACTTAAAGGTTCTGATGACAATACATACAATAATGCAGAAATAGGACAACCTTGTCTTACAGAGTTTTTAATTGGAAAATAATTAGTTAAAAACCCATTACTCTTTACACTGCTGTAAATATCTGTATAAAAAATACTAATCCATTTTCTGAAAATTGGTCCAAATCCAAAAACTTTTAAAACGTCAAATTGAGTGGATTTGAACCGGGGTCCTTTGGCTTTGAGAGCTTCCGCTTGTTCCACTAGGCCAGTAACGCTTTCAAGTATTGGATATTTAAATTATTTTGTGATGTTCGTAATATTAAGGGCCACTATTTTGTTTAGTAGTAAGCTATCATAGTCGTTAGCCAACGACTCACTAGTTTTATTTTTTAAAAAAAAATGTGCTATAATTTTAGATGTATTTTCAAATATTGAATGAAGTTTGTTGAATATTGGCAGTAAACCTTTTCTATCAGGATGTTCACTGATTTCGCCTTTCAGCAGAAGACTTTAGTAGCGTTTCCCATCAGGATATACTCCAATATCACCCGTTATATGGACGCTGATCTTGCCATCCTGCGGATGTGATCGTCTTTGTACAACTTTGCTTTAATAAATGGCTAACTATGTCTTATCTTACATTCTAAGTATTGTTTTATTTTTATATTAGAACAGGAAATGATTTATGTTTGGCTGAGCGAAGCGAAAGAGAAAATGAGCGTTTGCTCTAGAGTCGCGGAGTAAGGAGTTGATCCTTACGTCGCGGGTTCGAATCCCACTGTGGGACGTGGAGACCGGTCATTCAAATGAGACCGTATAAACCTAGGTCCCGTGTCGCAGTGGGTGCTGACACGAAAAAGATCCCTCACTGCTCAATGGCCCTAAGTGCCGAGTATAGATCAAATTTTGCAGCTCTCCACCGGCAAGAGTGAAAAATTCTCAAGAGGGACGTTAAACAACAATATACAAACAAACATTACATAGGAAATGCCTTTGAAATCTTCTCAAGAACAACTAAGTCATTATTAGTCATATTTATACAGAAGCAACCTTAGGTATTATAGAATCAAGTTTGTTCAAATAATGACCCTCCCCCCTCCCGGGGGTGGGGTGGGGGCACAACAGAGGGTCAAAGTTTTACATAAGAATATATAAGAATCATCTTGAAAAAATCTTTTAGTCAAGAACAGCAAAGCCATGATGTCATATTATTATAGAAGCAATCTCAGGTAGTGTAAATTTAAATTTGTTCAAATTTAGGTTGAGTAGGTGGGAATACAATGATCAATCAGAGTCTTACATAGGAATACATAGGGAAAAAATCTTTAAAATTCTTCTGTTTAAGAACAGCAAAGCCATGATTAGTAATATTGATATAGAAGCATCCTCAAGTAGTGTAATGGGGAACAGGATCGGCAAGACTGAGATCGGCCAAGATCTTTGTAATATTTACTGTAACGACACTTATGGTTTTCAAGTTTCCGAGGATGATATAAGATATTCGAAAAAAAAAACAATGAAAATTTAAACGTTAAAATCACAATATAAAGTATTGAGAATGATAATATTGTTTCGCCGCCTATCTCCTGCTCAATTTCAAAAGTTTTCATATGCCAACTATTTTTTTAAATTCATGTAGATATTTATATAAATTTTCATAAATTTTGAATTATTTACAAAAAGAAAGAATAAACTCAATATCTGTATATTTGGAAATAAATACAACACGGAAAATATTTTCAAAACATCTTTTCTCCTCGAGAAACTAAAAAACAATTTATTTTACAGGTATTATTCGTATCAAAGCTTGTTTACAGGGCAAAAAAACAAAACAAAAGCTATCCTTTTTTGACCAATTTCACATGATAAACATCTAAAAAAAATTTCGTGTATCTTGCAAATCCGTATGTGCGTCAAAACCAAACGTGTAGGTTATTTTATAAAGGCTTTCTAATAGAAACCAGGCATTTTCGAGTTTGTCAGTTTTGCGAAATTTCATTGGTATATTATCTTTTATTAAGCATTTTGTGACATTATGAAAATCTTTAAAGACGTTTACGTTTTTTTTTTATTTTGAAAAAAAATATTACGGTATAAAGATTTTTATATTTATACCTGGATGTTTTATTCACTTTGTCTATTATTGTTTTTTAAATTTATATTATATAGTATACATGTATGTTTTAAATCTAATGATAAACACTTTTTAGCTTATAATTCAAACCATTTTTAAAGAAGTTGACTAATAAAGTTAACCAAAATTATAAATCGTTGCCCTTAATAAAAATTGATTTAGGAAAGAAAATGATCATTACGAAAAAGAAATAAGTAGATCATATATCAACATCAGAATTTTATAAATTGACATAGAATTTCCTTTACCTCTTTCCATAAAATCGGTTAAGATCAGCGATTAACATTTTTTTACAAACTGATTTAACTAATGAATGCATACATAATCAGTCAAATATAACAATTTTAGGATATTAGAGAGATTACACTTTAATAAGGAACACAATCTTTCATTCTTTTTTTCCTTTTTCTAGAGCTCTACATTCAGATTTTTTCAGTATTATTTTGTATGTCTACCTAACTGATGTGATTTTTGGGGACTTTTTCTGGGTTTAAGTTACTTTATGCTTTTAAATCCATTGTCTAATTTATTTAGGTCCAATGGTGCTTTTAATTAAAAATTGCATATAAGAATATTTTCATAGAATATTTAGGTAAAGATTTATTTGAAGAATTTATCTTTTTCTTATCAAATAAAGAAAAGGCATGTTCAATCGATGATAATTTTAAAAAGAGGTGTGAATTTATCAATCTGTACCCAAAATCCACGTAACTGAAAAATAAATAAAAGACATGTGCCTGCCAATTAGTTGACTTGATGCTCACTGAAATGTCATTGATAGACTCCTTTCATTGATTTCTGTGACATTTTCCAGTGTTCATTCTGTAACAATTCAGTTTCTATTTCGTCCACTGAAAGGTGTACATTCATTCTGGGGAGTTTTAAGTGTAAGCATTCATCAGGGAGCAAAACTTGATCTTTAATACTTTGATGTCCAATTTGTACAAGCAAGAAAAAAAATCTTAAATTCTTGTTTCTAAACAGAAAAAGGAGGACAACAACATATTTTCAACAAAAACAAATCTCCCTTTTTTTGATTTGTACAGTATATGAATGGCCTATTAACCTTCGCTGTGTTGTATAAAATCTTTCAATTTGACAATACCTTGTATAAATTACGCGTCATTGTAAAGCGTGTTCTATTTTCTGAAAGTCGAATCTATTTATAAAACACACATCGTTGTAGGGCAAATAAAAGTTTTGATGAAATAAATCTATACCTTCCAATAAAACGATAAACTGTCCCTAAAATTGAAACTGTAAAACGTAAAATATATATATATATATATATAAAATATTAGGATATATTCGCAGTAATTTATTTCTTGCAGAGACATGCACGTTCCTTTTCTCTGACTACTACACGATTATTTTTGCTGTAGGAATATTCCTGATAATAGTATTGATCGACAGATTTTCACACCCAAATAATGATAAAAACAATGCATTAAACACAGTTTTGAATTTTTTTTATTCCTATGTAATTGAAGTAATTGGTATTTTCTATATCTGTTTATAATCATACACAAAAATATGAGGTTTTTTTTTTTTTCAAGTAAATGATCTAATCTGCAAATGATTTTTTTCATTCATGGTGTTGCTAAGCCTTGAACATTCCAGCACAAGAGGGGAATGAAGTAAAATTCGAACTCTCTGAATTGTAAACATGCTCAACAAAATGAGCTAGTTATTTTACAACCACATTTTCTTTTCTTTATATTTCTTTAAACTGGTATGTTTTTTTATCCGTCACATGCTTGTTACGACACAAAAAATTAACAGTAGACGTAAAAGGTTTACCAGAACTTAATTTAAGGGAGCCAACTGGGGTTTTATTGTGTGAAAACTACTGTAGAGAAACTCTTTAATTTTATACCATATGTACCTTACATTGACTTTGGTATATATGCTAAGTTTAGTGAAAATCTACCGCCTGGTTATTTTTTTAGGGACCATCTCAAAATACAGGTACATTTACTATATATATAGAAAACTACCATTTCTTGCACTTCGGAGCAAATTATACAATTGCTACTATAGACTTTTTGCTCAAATTATATTATTTGATGGGTAATACTATATTGTACATTTTGTGCAAGAAACACAAAATTCTACCGTCTGGTTTCCAGAGGGGGTATCTCAAAATGTAAAAATTCATGATATTTTTCTGTTTTATGGAGTACAACAAAACATGACAGATACCACAGATTTACATAAAAATTAATGAAAATGATTGTTAGATTCTCAATTTCCTATGTTTAGAATTTCAAGAGCATGTATTTTATACTTTTTATTTTATGGCATAATTAATGACCCCGCTTAAAGAACTTCGGTTATTCATAACGTCAAAAACACACTATTACGACGTCTATCTACCCATCATTTAAAAAATCGTTTAAAAAATCAGTTATTTAAAAACGTAATAAGATTTTTTAACCTGAGATTTCCTAAATTTGTTAATTTTTATAAATTATGTAAAAATAGTTGCTTTAAAAGAGAAAATACGCTTTATTTTACTATGCTGCGCAAAGTATTGCGCAATGAAAACCCCAGTCGGCCCCCTTAACCTGGGATCGCCACTGACTGTCACTTTGTCTGTGTGCAGACTACTAATTTATCCTCTAAAATTACGATTTGATATTCTGCGTTAAAGATCGATAAAAGAAACAAATCTTTGAATCATCTTATATGATAGATTTCGTGTTTTATATTCTCTCTAGAGAAGAGATGAAAATATGCAATGCCGATCTTAAAGCCTGTCCATACATATGTATTTCCCCTTTCATAAGAAAAACTTTATCTGTGATAAGAATTAAATAGACAAACCAAAATTTCACAAAACTTTAATAAAACAAAGATTTGTACAAACGGATACAAGCGATTTTTAACATTATTAAGATAAACGGTACAATTGAAACCTTTCTGACATCAGAAGATGAAAATCACCCAACATATCCACCTATAGAATAAGAAAAACAATTTTTTTTAAAAATGCAAGTATAGAAACATTCGAGTAAAATAAGGAAATCTAAAAAATATGAAACTTTACTGTCTTTTCCTCCACATTTTTTTTCTAACTAAAACATATTAAGTTAGAATAGAATGAAAAACGCCTTTATTCCATTATCATTTTTAGAGTACAGAAAAAAAATTATTTTTAAGGAGTTGTTTAACTCTCTCTTTGGATTATATTTAAAGAAATTGTTCTAGGGATTCCACTGAGTGTATTTGTATTTACATACCTGGATTGCATCCGATTTCTGTGCATGATACTCCACCAGTACTCTCACAAGTACAAGTATTACACCCATCCCTGGCAGGAAATTGCTGTCCTGGTGAGTACCTTTGACCATTATAATAACAGTACTTTTGGCAACCTATCTTAGTACATACTACACTGCCGTTACTTCCACAAGTACATGTGTTACAATCATCCTTAAATGTCTGCCCTGATTTGTATACCTGACCTTTGTAATGACACGCTGAAAAATAGATGCACATGATTGTAAGTTATTTGAAAGACGACATATGCAAGCGTACGTATTACATACTCGACTATTAATATTTATGGAGGAAAAGTTAATTAATTAATCAAATAGTGCCTTTATTATGAATTATATACATGAAGGATAAGGGTCCGTGCAGAATTATATAATTACTGTTTTAAATACTGACCTCTCTCTTTCTTTCTCTCTCTCTCTCTCTCTCTCGTACAGTATAAAATACATTGATATCTCTTTCAATAAATGAATAAATTGTCTAATTTGTATATACATACTGACTGGGTATGTGCAACTGACTTGGCCATCCTGACCACAAGTGCATTGCTGCCCTTCACTATTATAAAAGGTAGCACTAGGAAAATATGATTCCCCCCTGTAGGTACAGCCTGTAAAAAAATAGAATTTTTTATTTAGTTTAAAATGGGTTTTTTGCTTGAAAGTTAGTTGGCATATTAAATAATTCTATTTTGTTTGTTTCAAAAACAAATCAATTATGAAATGTTAAGCAGGAGGCAATAAGTAGTAAAAAATATATACTAGTGCATGATAATAGGTATCACGTTCAAAACATTATTTAAGTAAGACATATCATTCCGGCTGATAAAAATAAGATATGTTTGCCTTACCTTTACAGCACACAGAATACGATGTCCTTGACCCTACACAGGTATATCCTCGTGGACAGCTAACAGCGTTTATCCCTAGACAGTTAGGGGCGTCACCGTTGCGTGTGTAAGGATTCCCAGCTTTGCAAGGGTTTTCAGCTGCCAATTTTTAAGATCAACTATATTAAATATTTGTAGATGAAATCCATTAAATTAATGATATAGAACACAAATCACCCCCACTACGTCAATAAAATTGTAGATACAATGTAGATACAATGGTAAAACGTAAGTTCAGTCTTAAAATGTTGAGTATTGAGTAGAGTAGAACATGTATGAAATCTAGAATCAGACTGTCAGAATTTTATATAAAGGTATATTCTAAAGATTCTATAGCCACAAAGAAAATTTACAGAATAATTTGCCATTGAAGTGAATGAAAGATAAGAGCCCATGTACGGCAACGTTTCTATCCCTAATAACTACAAGTATGTTTCATTTAGTTCATTCATGCATAACTTACTTTTACAGCAGTACCCTGGTTCATCAGCTGGACCTGCGCTACAAAAGTAGGGCGGGGGACAGGACTGGCCGAACGGGTTACAGGACGGAGGTTGGCCGACATTTTTGTAATATTTACCGTAACGACACCTAAGGTATTCAGGTGTCTGGGGATAATCTGAAGATATTCGTGAACAAGTGAAAGAATTAGAATAGTTTAGATGATATGTTTCTTTAAATCAAATTATTAAAACAAGAATATTTTAATCATAAGGAAAATAATAAGACACGAAATAATTTTCTTTTATTAAGAAGAATAATATTGTAGATTATGAATATTGGAAAATTTACGTTACTTACAAGTTCTTGCTTGAACAAGACTAGCAATGGTAAATGTGATAACAACGCTAAAAGCAAGCATGTTTGGTTGATTGTTAGTCCCGTTTGAACACAGATAAGAAAATGTTGATCTTATATACGTTTTCTCAAAAAGATGCATAATTAATTATTTTTTTAAAAAGGTGGGCATTCTTTAATTTGTGCCGTGTAAGCACTTTAGTAGATAAATTACCTTGTCAAAGACAATAGACAAAAACTCTGTAATAACATGATCTCCATATCTTCAAATCTTGCGCAATTTATTTTGTGTTATAGCAAAGGGGGTTTTCTGCAATAATACATCAAGTAGGAAATTAACATAACTGTCAAAACATGCAAGAAAACGACGAGTGTGAGATTTGTTTATAATTCTTTATATTTTAACAACAACAACACATTGTTTCTTGATAGAGGGCCTTTTTAGAAACTGATAAAATCTTTTAAGAACTAACACACTCCTTTTTATTACTTTATGAACTGAAATATGTTAATTCTTTTTATTTAGATATTTTCCAAACTGTTGGCAGAGTTAAAAAAAAAATAACACAAAAAAGTATTCCTAATCTGAAACCTCGAAATCAAATCTTTATCGGTAACAGAATATTTTATAATGTGAAAATTCTACCTGAACATATACATGTACAAGGGTTGTCCGAAAAGTTCGAGGACATTAGTGTTTTCGTAAATTTAAATGTCTGATATAAACATATTGTGTACTAAAAATGTTTGTTAGAGTTTTTAAACTTAAACATTATGTAAAAATCGCCATCTTATAGGGTTGAGAAAATTGTGCACGGCCCTGGCTTAAAAATGTTGTAAATTTTATAATAGAGTGTTTTGATTGAAATGATTATATTTTTTCAAACAGCAATTCAAATACAAATAAAATTTAAATTTTAGGTGCCTAGAACGGCTGCTGTCATTTTCCAATGTCGATCCTTTTGGTTGGATATTAAACGGATATAGAAAAAAAGCGAGAAATGCGTCTCTGAAAACGTCCGAAAAAGGGACGTTGTCCATTCGAAAGGCCGAGGGTACGTCATGGAATTGTGTGTTGATCTGGTGGAAATCCATTCGAGATCAAGAAAATACTTTAATCAACAGGGATTTAAAGGAATATTTCTAGTATATTGATTTCCAAGTGGCATAAGCAGTTTTCAGACAATGTTTGTCATATTTTGGAGACTGAAAGAAGTACATGTATAAGATTAGTGTTATGATGGAAATACGAAATCCCATATTCATTAAGTTATGTGTATACAAAGTAGTTATGCTGATAACTTAAGTAAAATATTGTGTATGGCTATGATTTTAGATATTTACTCATCATGGTCTATATCAAAATTATTAGAATACTAGTAATATCGCACACACTTGGCAGTGTCATCAATGTAAACGTTGCAAGAAGTGGAAAACCACTGTTTTGTGATGAAAATCATGACGTTATTATGAATTTTGCCTAATTATATAAAGTCAGACTGGGCTGTCCGTCTTGTATATGCTAATTACATTGAATTTCGAAATTTCTTGTGCGTTGCTCTGATTTTTATATATTTACTTAGTTGTGGTTTGAATTTAAATATTATCGCACACAATTGGCATTGTCCTTAATGTAAACCTTAAAAGGGGAAAAAGATGTGTCCATGAGCTTTTTTGGACGGCCCTCGCACAAGTGTTTTGTGCGGATTCTTTATTTCTCTAAAAGAAATCACTTAGAATTGTTTGTGAAACGTTCAGGTCTCTTTATAAATCTTGCAAATCCATGCCATTAATGTATGCTTTATATTAGCATGTCTGTGTTAGAAAACCGAATTATTTTTCTTTATTTTTTCATCGATATGTTAATTGTGAGTTATTTAAGTGTGACACAGTATTTAAGCCTTGTTTGTTTATGATATTTTGCAATAGAAAGGTAAGGTAGAGTAATCCTTATCCAAGATAAAATTGTTTGACGCACTGAGATTGCAAATGTGTATTTCTTATTATTGGAAATGATTGACATTTGTTTCAGATAAAAAATGTATCATGTTCATATTCTATAATAAACAGGGTAATTTAGGACATTGTCTAGATTAATTCAATTTAATAAATGATGAAACAATTTATATGCAAAATTATACGTTTTATATTTTGCTATATTTACTAAAATCCAAAACTTTGATGGATTCTAATTCAATATAAATTTTTAGAGAGGACTTTTCCGATCGTGCAAAGCAATTCTTAAGAAATTCTTTACACAAAAAAACCACATGCATATCAAGCAAGCACTTATATTTTGGTTAAATTTAAAAGAGTTAAAACAAAAGAACAACAGAGCATTCCAAGTGAATACAGTCAAATAATTCTACACGCCCAAAACATCCATGAATGTGTAAAAATCAGTTTTCCTGAAGTTTTTCATCCCATAAAGAATTCAGTCTCAGTCTAACGGTTATTGGGGTTTTTTTTAATGTAGGGCCTCCTAAAGGGTGTATCATAAATGGTTCAGTATATGATATAGATCAGTACTTTTATAATCTTAAACAGAATTAAAATCCCTGATCTCAGCATGATTATGTAAGAATTTTTTGTCTTCACTGAATTTTTATATGTAAATGAAATCAATATTTTTTGATCTACAAAAAAGTTGTTCCCAACTTAAAAGACAAAAGCGGTGGTTTAAAACAGTTCTTTGACTTTACTTCACTACTTGTTTACTTTGGAAACGATTTCTTTAAAGTTAATTTTTCAAATTCATCTATAGATTTATCATTTTTTATTCATAAATAATTAGAACTGTTGACAGTGTGTGCAGTGTAAGTACTTATCAAGAGGTTATCAACATATTTTGTTAGTACTGTTTATATAAACAAAAAAAATTACCATGTAAAAAAATGAAATAGATACGAAGAACGTCTGCTTGACAAAACAATGAGAACAGGAAAGTATTGTGAATGGTTGCTTGAAATTTTGTGCAATATCTTATGCGCCTTTGTAAAAAGGGTTTCTTTTTTTAATTTGCATAACTGTTAAAAGAACACATAAAAGTTTGCTTAAATTAATTAACAAATTATGATGAAATGGCCAATATTACTTAATGTAAACACATGAAAGCATGTGCAGTATATTATGCGTCACTGTAAACGGTTTCTTTTTTCTGAAAGTCATATTTATTTACCATATTTACATAACTGTCAAAACGGACAAAAAATTATATTTGAATTTATTCACAAATTTATTCACTGAAAGCTTTTTGTAAAAAAAAAGTCTGCAAAATAATTTTTCTTTATTTTAAGATCTTTGATAAATATTAAAGAAAATTGTGGAAAATATTCATATTTCATAGTTTCATATTGATATAGTTGTTCCTAAATCAGACTCTCTCTCTCTCTCTCTCTCTCTCTCTCTCTCTCTCTGGATCCTCTTACAATGAAGAAACCTTAGGTCTAGGTGAAGTAGAAAATGTATTCATTTGTGTATATTTATTAAAACCGTTGTCACAGAAAGTCGCCTTTTTCAGCAACTGTCAATTTCTTGAACCCGCAAGAAATGATATGAGATATAGAAGGAATGAATTTCATAGCTATCCAATTTATACGGTATAAACTGGGTTGGGACATTATACGCTTTATAAATCGCAAAGCAAGGATGATGGCCCTTAAAATGACTTCGAACTGGACAAGATTTAAATGTAACGTCTAGAGGATCGATACTTTTTGGATTCAAGTTATTGTGACTAATGCAACCCAGTTTATACGATATAAAGTCATTTTTCATCCAATCAAATACGGAGTTAGAAACAGAATTAAATTATATGGAAATCAAAAAACACTATTCAAGCTCAGAAGTCTTTTCAAACAATACTGATCAGGAGAAGAGCAAACACGGACCTCTAAAACATACGATGGCCGATATGAGCCGTCAAATTACAAGTAAGAGTAACTCTATTATGTACGCAGAATTAATTGACTTTAGCAGTAATACCTGTATCATTTTGTACATCTTTGTCAATGACAAAACGCTTGTAGTTGTAACATGAATTTGTACATGTACAAATCTTAAGACAAAATACATTTGAAACTACTTAACATTCCTCAGATTTATTGGGGAGATTATCTGTAAACTTAGAAAGGGTTTAAAACAAAAACACGTGTTTTTTTCTTTTTTTTTGGGGGGGGGGGGAGAGGATGTTGAATAAATGCTTATTTTTAATGATATTAAAAAAAGCAAGACTGTTTGTACTTTCACATACGTCGTATGAGATCACGACTCTCGGATTTTTCCTTCAAAGAATATTTTGGAAGTGTCTTTATTCAGATTCCTCGTGTTTTTGTTTGATTTAAACCTCTTTCACGACAACGCAATATAGAAATTCATTCTTAGGCCTTAAATACTAGTTAAAGATTCCAGAGAAAATGAAGCTGAATCTTTAAGTAAGAAGATTATTCATTTCCTCATTCTATTCCTTGTTCCAATGAAAAAAAAAAATAAAGGAGAAAAAATATTAATGGAACAAGGGAAAGAGTAGAATGAAAAATAAACAAAGTTCTTACTTACGCAGATCATCAAGCGACAATCTTTCATCTGAAGGGAAGGGAAGGGAAATACTAGAGATGCAGCTTCATTGTCTCTGGAATCTTTAACCAGTATTTTGGGACCTACGAATGAATTTTAATATTGCGTTGACGATAAGGAAATTAAAATCAAACCAAAACACGAGGAATCTGAATAAAGACACTAACAAAGTATTCTTTGATGAAAAAATTTGAATGTTGTGAAAGTAAAAATAATCTCGCTACGTTTTATGATATTAAAATTTAGGAATACAGCATTTATTTAACAACAACAAAAAGGGGGAGAAAAGAAGAAAAGAGAGGAAAACCAGGCACACGTGTTTGGTTTTAGTCCCTGTCTTAGATTACAGATAATCTCCCCCAATAAATCTGAGGAATGTTAAGTAGTTTCAAATGTATTTTGTCTTAAGATTTGTACATGTACAAATATATATTACAACTACAAGCGTTTTGTCATTGACAAAGATGTACATGTACAAAATGATACAGGTATTACTGTTAAAGTCAATTAATTCTGCGTACATAATAGAGTTACTCTT